GAATAGGTGTCCCAGGACCTCAAATTAGTCAGCCTCAATTCAGCCTAAATGTGAACTTAGTTCACATGGCTGATGTCTGGCTCAGTGAATTACATCAAACCCATAGAACAGGATAGTTGTAAATCACAGATAAATACAGGTAACTGTGTCCTATTTACACAATGGTCCATGTCTTGCATTCCTGTTCCATGAAAATGAAGAAAAGTATTTATTTTTCTAATAATTGCATCAACAAAGTTGAACAAAGGAAAATTTTGGGATTTTAGGGCTAAAATTATATTGGGATGTTATCTGTATACAGGTAGACTTTGACTTATGACCTCAATTGAGCTCCAAATGTACAATTGCTAAGTGAGAAATTTGTGAAGTGAATTTTGCCCCCTTTCTTGCCAAAGTTGTTAAGTGAATCATTGCAGTTGTTAAGTTAGCAACACGGTTGTTAAGTAAATCAGGCTTCCCCGTTGACTTTGCTTATCAAAAGGTCACAAAAGTTGATTCACTCCACCGTCATAAATACGAGTCAGTTGTCAGGCATCCAATTTTTGATCATGTGACCATGGGAATGCCACAACAGTCATTAAGTAGGAAAACAGTCATAAGTCACTTTTTTTCAGTGCCGTGATAACTTTGAACGGTCACTAAATAAATCATTGTTAGTTGAGGACTACCTATAGTTGCAATTAAACTTTCTATTTAAAAGTTCAAAAATAGTTCTGAAGTGGGGAAAGAATCTAGAACTCACCCCATTCCCACAATGGTAGAAATGAAGAGCAAAAATATCAAGAGGAGCCAGGTAACGCATTTTCAACACTTGCTATTATAAGATGGAAGTTTTCCTGAGCTCCAGTTCAGTTCATTGGATAGAGTAGTAGACTGAAGTAAGATTTAAAGGCGGGAGGGAGGGGAAGTTATGTAGGTGCAGATTACATGTGAGACTGATTAACAGTACCTTGTCAGTTAACAATTGTTATATATTTAAAACTCATTGTGAAATCTTTTGAGGTATGTGAGTTTAACGACCTTTGGAGGTTGATGGAGTTAAAGTCTCAGTTTTCCAAAACAATCACTTGAGATCTGCTGAATGAAGGGCTTTGATATTGCTTTGTCTTTGGTTTGAGTCCTAAGATAAAAGCTTGTCTTTTATTTGTCCTACGTAAAATCCAGTTGGACATTGTTCGCTGGCAATGGCATATATAATACATTAAAGGAAGACCGTATCATGTTGCCTATAATCATTTTTGTGTACTTGTTGGGGCCCATGATGGTGCTCTCAGTATAGCTGTAACTCAGTAAACATCTGAGTTTGTTGCCAATTCTGGTTCCCACATTAGTGTCAGTGTCTTGTTGTTTCTCATTGTTTGTGTGAATCTGCTCCAGGTTGGGTGGCAGTCTGTATGCAAATTTAGGCTTGTCACCCATGGTGTCATTGTCTAAGATTGGCTGTGGCATATCAATAATGCATCTGAGTGGCTTAAATTGTGGGATTTGTGTTACCATGGGCTCACACAGCTCTCCTCCTCCATTGGCTGCAATAGAAGCTTCTCTCTTAAGGTAAATCGCAAACTCAGAAAAGAGCAATTTTAATTGGGATCATCCTAAGATGAAGGGGAAGGGCTGTGCTCTTCTTTGTCAAATATTAAATGAGTGGTTTTACTATTAGCCAGAGGGACGCGGTGGCTCAGTGGCTAAGACGCTGAGCTTGTCAATCAGAAAGATTGGCAGTTTGGCGGTTCAAATCCCTAGCGCCATGTAATGGAGTGAGCTCCCATTACTTGTCCCAGCTTCTGCCAACCTAGCAGTTCGAAAGCATGTAAAAATACAAGTAGAAAAATAGGGGCCATTTTGGTGGGAAGGTAACAGCATTCCGTGCACCTTCGGAATTTAGTCATGCCGGCCAGATGACCATGGAGACATCTTCAGACAGCGCTGGCTCTTTGGCTTTGTAACGGAAATGAGGAATGCCCCCTAGAGCCGGAAACGACCAGCACATATATGCGAGGGGAACCTTTGCCTTACTGTTAGCTATCATCCAGCTGGCCTTAGGTACGGATAGGACACAGACAGATTCAAACAGAAATGCAGAAATGAGTTTAAAAATATCTCAGAATTGAATCAAAGTAAAATCACCCATCAGCACTTTTTGATTTGACTCACAAGAAAGATGGTTAAAAATGACAAAGGGATTTTCATGATCATTTGGCTGGTCATTTATGAGTAGCCAGAGGGAGTCTAATCTCTGATGACCAATGTTAGTACTGAACCAGGATGGCAATTATTCAGTTAATTAGCATGGAGTGCAATAAAGGTGCCACCTTGTGTGTGAACCAACTGGTGACTTCTGAGGATTTGATGCGTGTAAAATAAAGTGGGAAAGACTCATTAAGCAGCCCATGCAGTCATACCTGGGAGCTATTGAAAATGCCCCAAAGTGTGGATTGCTTCCTTATTCTTCTCTGCCTGGCCACCTTCTCTTCACTGTCAATAGATTAAAAGACAAAAGAAATTACAGCTGCAGTTTGCAGCTACTTGAAGTGTGCCTTATTGGATCAGAGACCTCTAGTTTTAGGTCTCTATTTTCAGAGAGAGGGAGAGAAGGAAACGAAGAACCTTTGTGGAGTGTGCACAACCAATACTCATTTTAACCAAACACGCCTGATTGAATCAATCAAGACTGGTGGGGTTCATAGAACATAAAACAAGAAAACCATCTTCGTTTAAGTGTGATGTAGAATTCAGCCCCACACACACACAATCTCATTATTTGAGTCTGGATCAACCATTGTGTTTTAACAGCATTCACTTTATAAGGCTAATATGAGGATAACATAATTAATAGCAGTAGCAATGGCACTTAGACTTATATATACCGCTTCACAATGATTTATAGCCCTCTCTAAGTAGTTTATAGAGTCAGTATGTTGCCCCCCAACAATCTGGGTCCTCAATTTACTGATCTCGGGAGGATGGAAGACTGAGTCAACTTTAAACCAGTCAGGATTGAACTGCTGGCAGTTGGCAGAGTTAACCTGCAATACTGCATCCTAACCATGGCTCTTAATACTCCATCCATGTTACCAGTATTCTTTACAAAAATCATAATGAGCAATCCTAACCTTAAATCCAAGCTAGATGAACATCCTATTCCAAGAAGCTCATACATAGTCGGAGCACCAGGGCAATTCCAAAGTACTTCTCATTCAACAAACAGGGCTGGAAGTTGCTGTAACAAGAACCCAACTACATTACAAGCGAAGTGGACCTTCAAGAACCTCTTTTGATCTGTTAAATCGTTAAGCTTATCCTCCAGGAATTACCACCTACAATCATCATCCTTCCTTCTAAGATACTATCTTTCCAAAGTGTTCGTTCAAAAATAAAGAGGATAGAATGCTCTTTAAAAAAAATCACCATTGTAATTTCTGGGATGGAAAATTTTACCCTGGAAAGTTGATACTTATGGGCCAGTTAGGAGAACGTTCAGCCGGGGAGGCTTCTGAAATGAAATTGGCTTGTCTGCTTTCCAGGACTTTTCCTACAGTGCAGTTGGTGGTAAGGGCCCTTAGCAGAGGGAGGAAGGGACCCTAATCAACAGCCTTAAAGGATGCTCAGTACCTGTCCTCCTTTTATTCTCTTCAGGAATCAGTTCCTCAGTGATTGCACTGTAAACTCCTTCAGAGATATCTCAATTAGCATCTTCTGGGCACATTATGGCATGATTTTAAAAAAAAAACCACACACACATGCAAGGATCAAGAATGGTCCTAAATTCTAGAAGAAACTTTTTCTAGCTGCTTTCCCCTAGGGACTTTACTTGCACTAGACTTTTTTTTCATCATTTAAAGCATGTTATTAGATTCTAGAATAAAATACAAAAATACAAAAGCAAATAGTGGGACATGGTGGGGAGGAGAAGGGGAAAGAAAAGGGAGAAGGGGAAGGGAGAGGGGAAAAAAGGCGTTCACTTCAGACTTCCTCTGTTGGAGTAGAATAAGGCATTAACATCGAACCTCAGCGTTTTACTTTTCCATAATAATGTAAACCAGCCATTTCTATAACAACAGATCAATCTAATCAGTAAAACTCAAAATCAAAGTTTCCCTTTTTTTTTTTTTTACACCTCAAGCACAAAGTCCAGAAGCGGTTTCCATGTAGCAACAAAGGTACTTATATTCTTTTCTTTGATCAACGGTCAATTTAGCCCCCGCTGCCAACTCCATCAGTTTCTGTAGCCGAAATGTTCTCCCATTTTTGCGCATACAGTAGCCTTGCTGCCGCCGAATTAGAACGGGACATTCTTGCACGAAACTTTTGACTGGGGATTATGGGAGTTCAAGTCCAATATGCATGAAAGACGTTAAGTTAGGGAAAACTGCTCAAATCTCCAGACGCGGAAGAGGAGGGGGAGAGGCGGAGAGTTCGTTCGTTCTTTCTTATTTCTGAACAAAAAACACTCTATTAAGATTCCGATATTCTAAGTTTTGCCGAAAGTTAGAGAGGGGCGAGTTTCACTCAGCTTGGCGCGAGTCTTCTGTTCGCTTTTCCACGCAGTGTGGTTCCGGCTTTCTTTCCATCCATCCATCCCTCCCTCCCTCCCTCCCTCTCTTCTCATAAACGCGGTTAGCAGGACTGCAGTATCCTAACTATTGCGATATGGCCCCAGGGGCCGCATAAAGGCAGCCGAATGACAGTATTGCTACTGAATAAAAGGGGAGGGGGAATACTAATCTGGTAGACTATGACTAACTTTGGAAGCAATCCGGACCAGGGTTGGCAGTTCCTCTCCCACCCCCTCTGGGGCCGGGGGGAGGGGGTTTAATATCTTTTTCTATCAACCGAAGCTTTCGTGGGGGGGGGGGGCGGTGAAGCTTCGCCTCTCTACCGGCAGATAAAGGGGCGTGGCCTTCCGTTTACACCTGAATGGGGCGTGGCGGAAGACTTTGGTATCGCCTGCCTGCCAGCCAGCCAGCCAGCCGAACCGCGGATGATCCTCCAGGACGGGCATGGCCCGTAATTGTTACGGGCGCTGCGCGATCTTCCTGGCGATTGCGCTGGTCATGGACGTGGCCGGGTTGACTTTGCTGCTGGTGGGGGGCGTGGGGAGACCTACTGTAGACGGGCGCCCCTTTAAAGACTTCTTAATGCTGACCGGGGGGCTCCTGCTCTTCCTCTCGCTGCTCTGCTGGCTGTTCTGGTATTCGGGAAACCTGAGCGGGGTGCCGCTGGAAGAACTGTCTCTCGGGACGCCCGCGAGTTGTCCCGAACCCCGTCGCCACACCAGCTTCCTGGCATTGGCAGCCAAGGTTTCCAAGCGCCTCTCCCAGCGCCACCGGCCGGCGCCTGCGCCCTCCCTCTTCTTTGCCCCAGCGAAGACCCCGAAACTTGCAGCCTCCCTCCGCCCCGACGAGCCCCTGGAACTCGGCCGCCACCGCACTGGGGTGCCTGTACAGTCCGGGACCACACAGGAGCGGCTGGTGTAAAAGCATCGCCTTTGGGACTCGAAATTGAAACCAGGTAACCACCACGTGTCTTTCTTTCTTTCTTTCTTTCTTTCTTTCTTTCTTTCTTTCTTTCTTTCTTTCTTTCTTTCTTTCTTTCTTTCTTTCTTTCTTTCATTCTCCCTCACTGTTTAAAGCTGTTCAATACCACAGACAATACTGCTACCCTACAAAAAGATCTTGACTATGTATCAGAATGGTCAAACAAATGGCAACTTCAAATCTCAACAAATAAATGCTCTGTCTTACATATTGGCAAAAAAAATCAGAAAATAAAATACAAGCTGAATAGTCAAGATCTTGTTGATGACCCAAGCTCTGTAAAGGACCTTGGAATACTCACCTCTAATGATCTAAGTGCTAGAGCCCACTGCAACTACATAGCCAAAAAGGCATTAAGAGTTGTTAACCTAATCCTACGTAGCTTTTTCTCTGGTAATATCACACTACTAACCAGAGCATACAAAACATTTGCTAGACCAATACTCGAATACAGTTCATCAGTCTGGAACCCACATTACGTATCTGATATTAGCACAATTGAGAAAGTCCAGAAATATTTCACAAGAAGAGTTCTCCACTCCTCTACTCGTTGTAGAATACCTTATGCCACCAGACTTGAAATTCTAAAACTAGAAAACCTTGAATTACGCCGTCTTCGGTCTGATTTAAGCATGGTATATAAAATCATACATTGCAATGTCCTACCTGTCAATGAATACTTCAGCTTCAACCATAACAACACAAGAGCACACAATAGATACAAACTCAAAGTTAACCGCACCAAACTTGATTGCAGGAAATACGACTTCAGCAATAGAGTGGTCAATGTCTGGAATACTCTACCCGACTCTGTAGTTTCTTCCCCAAACCCCAAAAACTTTAACCTTAGACTGTCTACTATTGACCTCACCCCTTTCCTAAGAGGTCTGTAGGGGGCGTGCATAAGCGCACCAACGTGCCTACCGTCCCTGTCCTATTTTTTCTCTTATTCTTCTTTTATTTTTCTTATATGTACCCATTTCATGTATTCACAACTATGTATACACTTATACTTATTATTTTGTAAACAATTGGCAAATCAAATAAATAAATAAATAAATGATGAGGCTCTAAAAAAAGTACAGAGAAGAGCAACCAGGATGATTAAAGGACTGGAGGCTAAAACATATGAAGAACGGTTACAGGAACTGGGCTTGGCTAGTCTAGTAAAGAGAAGGACCAGGGGAGACTTGATAGCAGTCTTCCAATATCTGAGGGGCTGCCACAGGGAGGAAGGGGTCAAGCTATTTTCTAAAGCGCCTGTAGGCCAGACAAGGAATAATGGATGGAAACTGAACAAGGAGAGATTCAACCTGGAAATAAGGAGAAACTTTCTGACAGTGAGAACAATCAACCAATGGAACAGCTTCCCCACGGAAGTTGTGGGAGCGCCATCACTTGAGACTTTCAAGAAGAGATTGGACTGCCATCTGGCAGAAATGGTGTAGGGTCTCCTGCTTGGGGGGGAGGGGTTGGATTAGATGACCTACTCTATCCAACTCTGATTATTTGTTATCTGTTTATTTACTGCCTGGAGAGGTGCGGTTAATTTAGCCATGCCATCAGGGGTATATTAACCATTAAGCAGATTAAGCAAGTGCTTAGGGCACCAGGCTCAAAAAGGGCACCACAAAGTTGAGAAAGAAAGAGAAAAAAAAACCAATGAAGATTTGTAAAAAACAATCTTGTATGTACAAAGGAGGGAGGCACCAAGATTTGTCAGTGCTTAGGGCACCAGTGAGCCTTAATCCGCCACTGCGTGCCAGAGTAAAGCTCAAGGAGATGTGAATGTTGCTTTTCTCAGCAAAGCGCGCGAGGGCCACAGTGTGAGCATCTCCACCAATTTGACAACTCTTGGCTTGAAGGAATGCACCTCTTGTCCCTTTGACGGTCGCCCTTTTCCCACTCCCGGCCCAGCTCTATTGACCATTTGGGCCCTTCCTGTTTCAACTTCATGGGACTTAAGCTGAACTCAGATCAATAGTGTGTCTTGGGCATGGGCAGGTTCCCCACCTCCCCTTAGATCAGAGGTCTCCAAACTTGGCAACGTTAAGACTTGTGAACTTCAATTCCACAAGCTGGCTGGAGAATTCTTGGAGTTGAAGTCCACAAGTCTTAACGTTGCCAAGTTTGATGGCCTCTGCCTTAAGATGGATACCACTTTCTCGTGTCCACTTTTAAAACTATTACAAGGATACTGGAGGGGAGAGGGAGAGGATGAGTCAACAGGCTACAAGGTAACATTAATATTGATGTTGGTTTTGTTGTTTGGTTTTGATCCGGGGTATCTTGCAACTTGCCATAATATCAACATATCTTTACAATCTCTTTTTTTCCCCTTAATGGTGGTATATCTAATCCAAAACTCCTGTCAAAAGCAGCCTGAAGACGTTCTTCATTATTCTGATGTTAAAGCATTTTTCCTTTTCAATGAGCAACAGGCTGCACCTGATCAAATGGGCTTCACTTGGTATAATGGTGGGGTAAAGTCGGATGATTCTTAACAAGTGAAATCAATCAAGCATCTGTTTGCCAGTTTAATGCAGGCAAACCCATCACCCCCATCCCCCACCCACCCCAAATCTGGCTTTGGGCATTGGGAGAGAAACTGGTTCTTTCCAATCCGAGTTCTTCCCTTGTATCTTCCAAATCTGACGGGATCTTTCCAGCTCAGAGTCCTAGAGCAGCCGCCCAGCAGTGGTGGCACAGTGCATGCTTAAGTGCGAAGGAGAGAAGGAGACTGTTCAGGCTGCTTTTGAACCCAGATTTCATATTATTCCTTCCCTCCCTCCCCCCCAAAAAGAAAAACCTACAATATTTCTTCTGAATGCAGGTGTGCAAAACAAATGGCTAAACTTACTATCTAGCCACCCGTCAAAACATGCTTCTGCCCCATCCCGAATTAAAGAGAGGGATTACTGAATGTTTTCATGCTGGTTGGTGATGTTGGTGGGAGGAAAAGAAAACAAAGAAATTCACCCATTGACCTAGACGTTAGTAAGTAAGGACTGCACCATTTGCCAGGATTGTGCCTATGGCAGGAAGAGGGATTGCTAGTGTGTTGGTAAAAACTTGTGCTGATTCAAGAACGGATGGACAGGGTTTCAGTTGAGCCATGAAGAATCAGTGGTGTGATGTATGAACCCAGTATCCAGTTCAAGCATAATACACACACACACACACACACACACACAGACAGACAGACAGAGCTTTAACAGGGTTCTTGTTCTACTTTGATTCTTTAAGACATAATACTTCTGAGATCAAAAAAATACTATGGGTTAGTCCTCAACTTACCACCACAATTGAGCCCAGACTTTCTGTTGTTAAGTGAGAGAGTTGTTAAGTGAATTTCACCTCATTTTACGACCTTCCTTGCCAAAGTTGTTAAGAGAATCACTGCAGTTGATAAGTTAGTAATACGGTTGTTAAGTAAATCTGGCTTCCCCATCAATTTTGCTTATCAGAAGGTCACAAAAAGTGATCGCATGACCTTCAGATACAGCAACGGTCATAAGTATGAATCAGTTGCCAAGCATCTGAATTTTGTCACATGATCATGGAGATGCTGGAAAGGTTGTTAAGTGTGAAAAACGGTCATGAGTCCCCTTTTTCAATGCCGTTGTAACTTTGAATGGTCACTAAATGAACTGTTGTAAGTCCAGGACTGCCTGTTAGTGTCTTGGCTGCCACTTGGGTCTAGCTGTAAACAATTCAAAAGGTCAGTGGTGTTTGGCACAACAGGAATCTTAAATATCTGTCATGCCCCTGGTGGAGACTGACTCTGAGGGGATGGAGAAACAGCCAAGACAGGGAGTGGAAGTGTGGCTCCGGAGGTTGTAGAGGAGGCTGGGGAAGGGCAGAGGCTGGCTGAGCAGTCAGAGGAGGACCCAGGCCCATCCCCTATCCATCCTAGAGCATGCAGGGAGGAGACAATAAGGGAGAGACATGGTCTCCTCAGGAGCAGAGGGCCTTGATCCTCTTCGTGGGCTGCAGGTGTGACAACTGAATAAGAGGACGGACCTGAGTACTGGCAAACGCTGGAAACAAAGCGTGTAAATATCTCTAGTTTATAGTTCCTCTCTGAGTTTGGCGTCCTTCCCAGTGTGTATCTGTGGACATCCTCCAACCCTTATCTTGCCTGGTTTGTGTTGCTTTTTTCCTTCTTTGTGTAACTGTATGTTTGGGAATTTTTTTGTCTTCCATAAAAGATATTTGGAGCTAGGAAGCAAAGTGAAGGAATAAAAGGGCTTCACCTGTTTTCTGTGGCTGTGTTAGTTTTATATCCCACCCTGGGTCATCACAATATCTTTTGAAATAACTTCTGGAGACTCTTGCCACCAGACCTGGATGCTCCAATCCTGGAGGTTTTTAAGAAGAGATTGGACAACCATTTGCCTGAATTGATATAGGGCCCTGATGGCGAACCTATGGCTTGCGTGCCGGAAGTGGCACCCAGAGCCACTTCTGCTGGCATGCGAGAGGTCACCTGGAAGAGCCCCACTGTGCATGCGCACGTACTGCCTGCCCGACAACTGATTGTCGGGTATCTGGAGCACATGCGTAGGGGATGGGGGTGCACGGGAGATGCACATGCATGCACAGCAATGTGCGGTGCATGCGAGGGAGTTGCGCACATGTGCGCAGGGAGCATGAGAGGGCCTGAGTGCATTGCCTTCTGGGTGCTGGCACGTGAGCATGTGCACGCAAGTGCACATGCAGTTTTCACCACAGGAGCCCAAAAAGTTAGCCACCACTGATATAGGGTTTCCTGCTTGAGCAGCGGGTTGGATGAGAAGACCTCTAAGGTCCCCTCAAATTCTTTTACTCTGTTATTAATTAATCTGGGGGTCCCAATGGACTCAAAATAATGGATGGGGTTGAGAAGAGGCAGTGGAAGGTTGCTTAAAAGAAGGTTGTTCCTCTGCTATAATAAGCAACATTCCAGGGTCTCCTGAGTGTGCCTTGT